TGGATTAATTATGGGGGTGGATTAATTAGTGTGGATTAATTATGAGGGGGTGGATTAATTAGTGTGGATTAATTAAGGGTGTGTGTATCAATTAAGGGGGTGGATTAATTAAGGGTGTGTGGATGAATTAGTGTGGATTAATTAAGGGGTATGGATTAATTAAGGGGTATGGTTTAATTAAGGAGTGTGGATTCATTAAAGAAAACCTTTAACATTTGCGGTTTTTGGAAGCCGCTACCAGGATCCGCCCCGGGTGCCAAATGCTCTAGGTACGCCCCTGCCGTGGACATAGGTCCTGTGTGAGATGCATGTTCTGGGTGTGTCCCAATTCAACTTATTTTCCTCACAATGCAAGTTTGGAATCCAAAACAAATCCTTTTTGGGTTGAGCTCCCCAACCAGCTCCCCAGCTTTAGATGACCAAATACATTTGAGGAGGATTTGGAAAGTAATGTCACTTTTATTCTAATGTTCATTTGGTATAAAGCAGATATGTGATATGCATTGTGAGTATATACATCAAAGTACTATCAATATAATTGTTTAATTTAGACACTGCATTTTTTGTAATCAAATTAAATTTTACGATATATATAAAGATATATTCACAATGCTCTTAAAACAGATTATATAAATACACTTTTGCTCATTTAGCACTAACACTATTTAATTTGTCTCCCATGTTGGAATTAGTGTAGGACTCACCAACATTGGGATACTATGAAGTAGTGGTGGGCCCAACACAATATGGCCATATGGTGGAACTTAAGCCCCATACTTGTTTGCTGAGAGGTGATTATAAGTAGTCTTGTAAAAGTTAAAACTGTATTTTTATATGTGTGTTGTTCCTTATTCTGTATGATTTACGTCGCTGGCCCACCTCCTTTTATTCCCACCCACCAACATCCTGATTCACATGACACTGATGGAAGGGGTATGGATTTGATTGGGAGAGGAAAGTGAGAGATTAGCATAAGGCAGACTTGCACAACTTGGTAGTAAGTAGAGGCTAAAATTAAAATAGGCTAAACTTCCTCGGGCTACAGATAGGTTTTTAGCGCCACACTTTCCAAGAAATAAATACAGATACATGTGCACAAATTATTTTTGTTTTGGTTCGGAATAGATACATTTTGGGTGGGGTGGACAATTGTATGTACACCCCATCTATATTTATTTAGAGCACACACCTGTATGTATTTCTTGGAAAGTGTGGCGCTAAAAACCTATCTGTAGCCCGAGGAAGTTTAAGGTTATATAAGGTTACCTGGTGGCAGGTGTGTGCTCTAAATAAATATAGATGGGGTGTACATACAATTGTCCACCCCACCCAAAATGTATGTATTACGAACCAAAACAAAAATAATTTGTGCACATGTCTGTTGTGTATGTGTGTATTTGTGAGTGTGTGTATATTGTGTTGTGGGGAATACCACCTGAGCCATACTAAAACTCCCACAAAAGACTACATCACTGCCCTGGCTTCCTGTTCCCCCTCCGCTCCATGTGTTCTAGCTAAACGTTCCACTTTACCAGGCTTGTGAACTATTACATAGAGCTGGAGTATCCCAACACCCTCAGCGGGACTTGCCTATGATTCCTCTGGAACTCCGGCTTAGCCTTGATCACCACCCCAGCCCGGTCATATTGCTTCTCTAAAATACGAATTTGACATTTAAGGTCAGAGTAGCTAAATATAAAGCATAGCTCACTTAGAGATATTTTTGCATGCTTTTGCTTTTGCTTGAAAAATTGATATGCAGCCAATATTGCATAATAACACAAAGAAATTAATATGAAGAAGATTAAAAAAATTAGGAAACCAAATTACTTATGTTGTGCCAAGATTAATTTCTGTCACAGTTCACTTTAATCTCAGTGGAAATGTTATTGCTAACAATTATAGACCAATATCACTATGGCAATACATGGCAATATTCATTGCAATACTTACATTATCAATATTTCCCAACCCAGTACTCAAGGGTCACCAAGAATGCTACATTTTGACATTTCCCATTTCTGCTCCTATTGTGAATCTGACAAAACTTTTTCTATTACAGGGTTACTAAAGTTAAAGGGACAAAGTCAGACCACTTCAGCTCATTGAAGTAATGTGGGTGCATGGTCCCAGGTCCCTCCACCCTGTAAAAGTTAATTATTGCAGTTTTCTGCGATAATTACCTTTGAGGGTTAACTGCATCTCTAGTGGCTGTCTTTCCTAAGGGGGAAGCATGTGCATTTTGTCATCAGCAGGGAAGGAGCGGAGACAACTTCGCTTTCCTGGCACTATATTTTCCATTTAAGTTAAGTTAAAATTAAAGGGGTTATTAAAGTGATAATAACAAATAATAGGCTTAGAGAAATTTAGCAGTTAGGCTATTTTGACCTTAAATTCTAAATTCACTTTGAATTTTCACTTTAGTGAAAAACCCTGTTGGTGTGTTGGAGGGCTAGGAACCACTGCATTATGGCACGTTGATTATGCAGTGACCTTGGATCCATCCCTTTTGTGGAATATGTGATATCACTGCTACTGCTGTTCTACATGTTATTAACCCACTGGTAAATAATGTGTTGGTTTTTTGTCACTGATGGCAGAAAGTGTGACACTGCCCAGGCCACCATTTGCAATCCATTAATAGTTTATTTCAGGGACTTCTCTTTTCACAAAATATTTTATTGTTCTTCTGGTTATACTCATAGAACAAATTTCCTGTTTCCAGTCTGCATGTCAGATCATTGTCTGCAAATAAGTATTGTGCTCGTTCAATATGCCTATTTATTTAATATTAAAACATTAAACCTAGTCACATGGTAATGAATGGAAATGAAAAAGAAATGTGTTTCACATTTAAATCATATTTTTTAGTAATTGATCATGTTAGAAAAATATGTACTTTGACATTCATGACAAATCCTTAATCATCTTTCGATTTTTACTTTTATGTTTACAGGTCGCGATGTGCAGTATTTGTTAAGGTTGCACTAACAATTTAAGCTAAGGGTTTTCTGAAACTTCGGTGAACTCATTCATTGTGACGGAAAGGTTAGAGCTAAGTGAATTGGTATTTACATGCAAAACAGAGGGTAGAAAATGTTCGTAGACAATTTAATTGTTCATTTAATGCGCTCTAGGTCTGAATAACCAGAAAAGCAATAACTCAAAAACATCACAGAAAGGTTTGGCAATCTGCCATAGTTTTCAAATGTTGCAATCCAAAAACGAATGTACGGATTGCTCAACGCTGCTGAACTACTTGTACACTTGCAAACTACTTGTTTGCATTAGCAGCTGCATATTATTGTTCATATAATTAATTTACTAATGATCTACTTCCCTGCCTTCCAAGGGTACAGTGAAAAATAATAGGGAGCATATAGTCCCAAAAATAACAATCGGGACTATAGGTCCTTTCTGTCCAACTCCGATTGTCCACCCGTTGCTGTTAAAGGGTACCTGTAGTGCCCCCCCAAAATTATGCCAGCTGATATCATCAGTGATCTCCTCCAAATCAAATGATTTTGGTAGAGAAGTAATGGATTACTTCTGATCATGGACATTGCCGGAAGGTGTGCTATATCTATTACCCCTCCCTGGATCTTTCCCTTCATTATATATTAGTTCCGGCCTACGGCTGTCTTCAGGGGGAGTGTCCGCGACGTCGAACAACTTTTGGTGACGTCGGCGGAAGTACTCCCCCCGTTTGACACTTGATTGTTTTCCCCCCACTAGTTTCATTACACACCATGTGACTCCAAGAGGAGGACCTACAAGGACTTTCAAACATTTAAAAAGAAGAAAGATTCCTGAGGCTACTATACAGCTACTGAGTGAAATGCGTTTAGCTGATTATTCTGGACTTTTAATTGGACTTAAACTTGATTTTTTACTTTTTAGAATGTATTTATTTTGTTTTTATTGTTAATAAATTTATATATTATTATTTTATACTTTAGTCCAAAGTCTTTTCTAGCCGTCAGGAACTCCATTGGGGAGAGTGCTATTCCCCACAAAAAGTAACACATTGCTTTCTAACCTCAGAACTGGGATTTCAGGGCTCTGGAAAAGGTGAGCACTACTATTTATACCTTTTTATACTAATATAGTAAGTGCTTTTCTACACAGTTGCTTTTCTGTTTTCTCTCTCGTTGTATACTCCTGGAGGGATATTGCCTGGGACAAAGGGGTGTTTGCTGCCTAAAGAGCATAAAGGACCTTTTTTACGGAGCCAATGCTATATAGGCTCCTGTCCATGTGAGTGGTTTAAGTCATTTATTACCATCAACTGTCTATTTGGATAAACCGTCTGCACTATATTTTCTTGTTTTTCTTGTTCCCTTTTTATGTCTATGTAAGTTTCTTAAGATTGTCACTGCACAAAAAGGGGGTGAGTATACCCCTCCATTGTCTAAAGCGCTCCACTTGTCTGGTATAACATTTGTACCTTATTTTTTTTGTATTTGTTTTTTATTGTGGGTAAGGGGTATTCCACTTTTAGTGTTGAGCAGCTTTTATCTTTTGGGCACTGTTAAGTAACACTCTCTACCTCTTTGAGATAGCTCGTTTGTTTTATATTAATACACACTGCCTAATACCTACATCCATACACACATACTGTCTAATACATGCATCCATATACACATACTGCTTAATACCTACATCCATACACACACACTGCCTAATACATGCATCCATACACACATACAGCGTAATGTGTACATCGATACACACATACTGCTTAATACATGCATCCTTACACACACACTGCCTAATACATACATCCATACACACACATACACACTACCTAATACATGTATCCATACACACATACTGCTTAATACTTACATCCATACACACATACTGCTTAATACCTACATCCATACACACATGCTACCTAATACATACATCCATACACACATGCTACCTAGTACATGCATCAATACACACATACTGCTTAATGCGTACATCCATACACACATACTGCTTAACCCCTTAAGGACCAAACTTCTGGAATAAAAGGGAATCATGACATGTCACACATGTCATTTGTCCTTAAGGGGTTAAAGGAACACTCCAGGCACCCAGACCTCTTCTGCACATTGGAGTGGTCTGGGTGCCAACTCCCACTACTTTTAACCCTGCAAGTGTAATTATTGCAGTTTTTTATAAACTGCAATAATTACCTTGCAGGGTTAACTCCACCTCTAGTGGCTGTCTACTAGTGGCTGTCTACACCTGTGTGAATGCAGGTGTATAGTTATGTGCACACAGTCCCACAGTGAGATGCACAGTTATACATATACACTGTCAAATACACCACATGCACATAGTCACAGAAACACACAGGTACAGACAGTTACACACATACACAGTTACAGGCAGATAAACACACTCACACACAGCCACACATACAGTCTGACTTACACACACATACTTACATGCAGACAGCCACACACACACACACACACACACACAGGAAGACAACCACACACACAGCCACACAGTCACACACAGGCAGACAGCCACAAACAGACAGCCACACACAGACTGTCTGCCTGTGTGTGTCTATGTGACTGTCTGCCTGTGTGTGTGTGTGTGTGTGTGTGACTGTCTGACTGTTACTGTGTGTATGACTGTCTTTCTGTGTGTGAGACTATCTGTGTGCTACACACAAACACACAGGCAGACAGCAACACACACACAAAGGCAGACAGACACACACACACAGACAACCACACACAGGCAGGCAGCCACACACAAACACACACAGGCAGACAGACACACAAAGGCAGGAAGTCACACACAGACAGCCACACACAAACACACAGGCAGACAGCCACACACACACACACACACACACAGACACACACAGAGGCAGACAGCCACACACACACACACAGGCAGACATAGAAACATAGAATGTGACAGCAGATAAGAATCATTCAGCCCATCAAGTCTACCCAGACAGTCACACATAGGCAGAAACACACACACACACAGGCAGGCAGTCACACACACACAGATAGTCTCACACACAGAAAGACAGTCATACACACAGTAACAGTCAGACAGTCACACACGCACACACACACAGGCAGACAGTCACATAGGCACGCACAGGCAGACAGTCAAACACACAGACAGTCACACACAGGCAGACAGTCATACATAGACACACACAGGCAGACAGTCAAACACACAGACAGTCACACACACAGGCAGACAGTCACACACACACAGTCACACACACAGGCAGACAGTCACATAGACACACACAGGCAGTCTGTCAAACACACAGACAGTCACACTCACAGGCAGACAGTTATACACACACACACACACAGAGACACAGTTATACACACACATACACAGGCAGACAGTCAAACACACAGACAGTCACACACACAGGCAGACAGTCATACACACACACATCGTTACCTCTGTTCCTTATGGAGGTGGAAGTGGTGCAGCTCCTGGAGACTGGTTGTTGGGGGAAGCAGAGACTCCTTTCTGCTTCCCCTGCAGCAGTTAACCGGCACTTTTAGCTCCGCCCCCACCATACGGTAAGTTCCGCTCCTCCACACCGTAAGCTCCGCCCCGCCGCACGGCAAGCCCCGCCACAATATTTGTTTTATTTATTTTTTTATCCCGGCCATCTATGTGTGAGCTGTGTCGACCGCACGGCGCCCCCTGCTCCCATGGCGCCCTGTGCAGCCGCACAGCTCGCACACCCCTAAGGCCGGTTAAGATCCTTTAACCTTTCCTTGTTTCCTTGTAAGTTTTATTCTGCAATCCATGAACCAGTTTAGTAGCCCTTCTTTGAACTCTCTCTAAAGTATCAATATCCTACTGGAGATACCTTTGGGCACCTGGAGGATCGGCCCAGTATTGGGGGAGCTCAAAATCCGCTCTCCCTGTGCTACGACCCAAGACAGGGGCAGCCCACCAGGAGCTCCTCAAGTCCAGATGGGGCTTTAAGGGGCTCTTGGGATCAGGCCCATAGACCATGAGCAAGTTGCAGGCCTTCACGCATCTCCAGAAGGCTGTGACACGGGAGCTTCCATCACAAAATATAAAGTATATTATCCAGGTAGTCCAAGGAGGCATCCCTACTCACACATAGGGGTATCTCCAGAATTAGTTTATTATTGAACTCCCGGTATTTACATCCCTGAAAACCAAAGGATAGAAAATGGATATCAAAGGGAAAATTGCTTACTTGTTCTACATATTGGAGGAAATTCTAGGCACAAAGCAGGGGCATGATAAATAAGGTGTAATCACTATGGAAACCAGCAAAGTGTATCTTTACATTTAGCATTTTGCACTCAAATTAGCACTGGCTCTTCCCTGATAAATTTCCCTATACAGAGCTTTAGATTGGAGTCTACATAGGGGCATTTTTTTTAAATTTAGTATATGGATTAAATGTGGTCTAATTATAGCAAAAGTGCACTCTGTCCTTTCTGAAAAATAAAGTACAGGAGAGTACTTTGACATGGCTGTAGCAAACTGTGTCATTTTGCTGTCATTTGAAATGTTTAATGTATTTCTAAAAAAAGGTACTTTTTATTTTTCTGACAGCAGAGATTCTGGTTATTTCTGTGGATGTTTGAGATCAGACTTCCTCAGTAGTAAGTAGCAACAGAAAGAACATGTATTCTACAATTTTGTCCTCAACTACAATTTTTAAGTTTATCCAGTCTTCATAACTCTTAAGTATCCTAATTAAGGAGGGACAGTTCTTATTTAACGTCCTAATCAGCATGTCCTTACTTTCTCTCCTAATGTACAGTTTCTCTAAGAACTCCAAATTGACCAAAGAGAAATGACCAAATCAATAATATGTACATGGTTTTTTTGTCTTCTACCTTAAAGGACCACTCTAGGCATCCAGACCACTTCAGCTTAATGAAGTGGTCTGGGTGCCTGGTCCAGCTATGGTTAATCCATTTTTTTTATAAACATAGCAGTTTCAGAGAAACTGCTATTTTTATAAATGGGTTAATCTAGCCTCTAAAGCCTCTAGTGGCTGTCTCAGTGTCAGCCGCTAGAGGAGTTTGCGTGCTTCTCACTGTGAAAATCACAGTGAGAAGACGCCAGCGTCCATAGGAAAGCATTATGAATGATTTCCTATGAGACTGGCTGAATGCCTCCTGCCGCGCATGCGCATTCAGCCGAAGAGGAGGAGAGGAGGAGGAGAGGAGGCGGAGAGGAGGAGGAGAGCACCCCGCCAAGCGCTGGAGAAAGGTGAGTGTTTAACCCCTTCCTCTCCCCAGAGCCCGGTGGGAGGGGGACCCTGAGGGTGGGGCCACCTTCAGGGCACTATAGTGCCAGGAAAACGAGTATGTTTTCTTGGCACTATAGTGGTCCTTTAATATTTTGTGAATTCACAATGTGCTTCTTAACGGTCCTGAGGCTCATAAATGAGCCAGGACACTGTTGTTTTTTTGCCTTCTTTTGGATCAACAGCATAAAACAAATGTGAGGAAGGCTGAACTTGATGGACACATGTCTCTTTTCAGCCTATGTAACTATGTAACTATGTAACATTGCGGCCAGGTTATCATGGCAATGCTCTGATGCATTGAATGAGCACAAAGACGAAAGGAGCATGTACTGTGGTCTGCACCTTCCAGAGGTGCAGACTTCTTGCTCCTCCCCTGGACCAATAGCAATCCTTCCAGCATCACCCCAGGACCACAAGGGATCCTGTCAGTACCCATGTAGGCCTCCAGAGATTACCACCTTCCCCCATGCACAGAGGTAAGCAGGAGGGGGTGAATCATCAAATAATCAGTCAGCCAACTTCACACGTAATCACACTCAACCAACTATCAAACTCAGACAAGCACAAATTATCACACAAGGC